TTCTAATAAAATTGTATCAATATTTGATAGTTTATTGTAAAGCGCGGCGCGGCGAGTACTGACAACACCGATCGACGTCGCGCGCGTCGGTCGCCATTTTGATTGTTATTCGGCTTCTAACCTCTGGTCTGAAAGCACGTACTTTGTTATTTCTGCGCTCACGTTGTTTTGTTAAGTTTTTTGTTTCGTTGTGTTTGCGGTTATTGTGGTTCATTGTTTCCTTTAAACAATATGGATCCTCAACCAAGCACGTCAAGTCAAAGCTTGTCTCCGAGAAGGAAGAGACCACGGGTTTCGTTAAGCGTTACCGAAAAGCTCATGGTACAGAACGTGTATAAACACGTATTTGAGGAGAAAGCTGCTTCTCTATTACCTTTTGAAACCCCCGAAAAACAGGAATGTGTTTCGAAAACAGCTGACATTTTGGGAATTGGTGTGACCTCGGTTTACAGTGTATTAAAAGAATACAAAGAAAATGAACAATTTAAATCACCCGAGAAACGTGGACCGAAATACAATTTCAAAGACAAATTAGATGATTTTACTTTTACTGCCATAAGGCGAAAAGTTCATCAGTTTTTTTATGCAAATGAGCCACCCACCATTGCAAAGGTAACATAAACTTTATTCCGTCTACTGCATTATATTCTGTGTCCACCATAATGTTCTTTGTAAAACCAAAGTATTAGATTGCATAGATTTCCTTACTCAAAAACATTTTTATTACTTTACAGATCCTTAAAGTTGTCAATGAAGACCCAGATTTACCGACTTTTTCATGGAGTACACTAAGAAATGTTATGAAACATTTGAATTTCAAATACGTTTCAAAGACAAGAAAAAGCATTCTTATTGACAGACAGGATATTATTCTATGGCGCCAGCGATACCTTCGAGAAATAAAACAGTATAGAAGAGAAGGAAGGTATATTTATTACCAAGATGAGACCTGGATCAACGAAGGTAATTACAATTTTGTTTTCTTCATTTTAAATTTTACTTTCTGTAGGTTTTGTGGCCACAGATAAAAGTTCTTACAATTCGTTACCGACGCTGTATTTAACACAGATTACATGCGTTTCTTATAAGACTGTAAATTCTGATTGTGTGACAATAATATAAATTAGGAATAATTACAAACAAACATGACAAACCACTTAGATAAACGTGTACATACATTTACAGGCATGTGTTTAGAAGGTCCCTCTACTTTCAATAATTAATTGATATTTTTCTCTATTTTTAAGGTCATGCCCCGAAGAAGGTATGGATTGACCAAACAGTGCTAACCTCCCGCCAGGCCTTCCTCGATGGCTTGACCACTGGCTTAAAACAACCTTCAGGAAAGGGCAAACGCTTAATTATCGGACATATAGGCGGGGAAGAAGGGTTCGTAGAAGACAGCCTATTAATATTTGAAGCCACAAAAAACAAAGAAGATTATCATCAAGAGATGAATGCCGATTCCTTCGAAAAGTGGTTCAGAGAGGTCTTGCCAAAACTCAAACCAAATTCCGTGGTAGTGATGGATAATGCCCCGTACCACTCCAGGAAACTGGAATCGCTGCCTACAATGTCTTGGACTAAATCCAGAATACAAGAGTGGCTAACAAGCAAAAATATCGCATTCGAAGCAACAATGATCAAAGCTACTCTTATAGACATTGTACGACAGCACAAACACCAACATTCTGAAAAGTTTGTTGTGGACGAGATGGCAGCACACCATGGAATTACGGTTTTACGTCTGCCCCCATACCACTGTGAGCTTAACCCTATTGAGTTGGTATGGGCGCAGGCCAAAGGACATGTGGCAAGAAATAACAAAACTTTTAAAATGCCAGAAGTTAAAAAACTGTTTGAAGAAGGACTTCAACTCATCACAGCAGAAAAATGGAGTAGTTGCGTGTCTCACGTTATTAAAGAAGAAGACAAAATGTATGGCCTTGACCACATGATTGACAATGTGTCAGACAACTTTATTATTAATGTCACCGAAAGTGATAGCGATGATTTTTTATCTGATGATGATTAAAATCAAATGATGTTATTAGCGTTGTTTTTATTATCCATAACTACCTAATTTTTTTATATTTTACTCATCTGTAGTTTCAACTACTTCAATTAATTCACTAGACGATCGAGACAATTTCATTCATTTAGTTGCTTTTTCAATCATTCACTTTTTCGCAACACTATTTTTATTTCATCAAAAACTGACAACACAGCAAACGTCAGTCGACTTCGTCTAATTAAAAATACGACTATAGGTAGGTAGTCAACTACCAGTGTCTTGCGGTATAACTGACGCCACAGGAAATACAATCCTATACTAAGGTGGGATCAAGATATTAATAAAATATAGGTTGTTTACATTTCCCCTACGATCGGCGTAAAAAGCAATGTATTTTTATTTAACGCACGGTAAATATGTAAAATTTTTCCAAGGTAAATAGATGTTTCAAAATTATAACAGTATACCTAAGAAGTCGATTTGCACAAAATAAAATTATGTATTACATTTTAATTAGGATTTCATGCTCGATGATCACTTTTTTCCAATTAACACAGATTCCATTCTCAACATCCCTGCAAACAAACCGCGCCCATTATTATTCTTAAATTCACATTCAAGTTATTGTGATTCCATGACGCATCAATAACTAAATAAAAAAAAACTCGGTCGTTGATCAGCCTCTGGATACGAGAGCTTTCAAACCCTGGGGGAGTTGTCGACCGCCCCAACAAAGCTACGAGACTACCGAGTTAAGTACTTACGGCTGTATTACGAATACGGCGGAATCAATGACAGTCATGTGTGCTCTGAAATTTGGACTAACTATATGATACACACCAACAAACACAAATAAGTTATTAAACACATATTTTAAAGATAGGTACGTTTCCTACAATAAATCTTCAACGAAAATCGTTGACAGTGAATTACAAAATTGTTACGAGACTATAATAGAAAAATAATTAAACCTTTTCCAAGGTGCTCACTTATGATTAGGACACCCTTGTTCTAGAGTGACCACTGTCTCCCCCCAGTTAGTCACAACGATGATTCATCGTTCCGTTGTTAATCACAAAGAACATGCCTATTTACCGGAATATTTCACAGGAAGGTAGTTACTTACTCCGTTCAAACAAGTGATTAATGATTAATACCAGGAAAATGTGTATTCAATAAATCTGAACAATAATTATATACTAATAACTAAGTTAATTGGAACTTCCATGTAGGTATTTCGTTTAACATTACGGGTACCTACCAAGTATCTGCCTTGTGGAACATTGCATCGTGAAAATTTTCTGTAGCTTTCGAATAAAATTTAATGAGTATATATGACAATATTTCGACGGTTACAAATTAAATAAGTTTTTTTGAGTTCTTAATTCATTACTAAGACCGTAGTGCTTTCCGATGCTGCATTAAAAAGCAACCGGCTTGATGTCTTATATTTGGTGTAATTGTTTTACATATATTTAATTTATAAATACCAACATTATGACAAAAACTAATAATAAATCATAGTTTACCTTATAGCTTATCAATCCGAAATATTTTAACAAAGAATTTACACAGAAATACTTCAAATATTCACTTCTAGCACTCACAGCCCGACACAATATGGCGGCAGGACGAAATCCCCACCTCAAAAATTATTTGAAAATTTTAACTCGTCTCCGATTGGTTCATGCATTCTAGACGCTTCACTGCAACCAACCTCACAAATCTGAACATGAAGATACAACCAACATAATAACAATTAATAAAGCATAGTGTAGGATGCATCTGATTCTTGTTTATGATTACTTTTTTTGAAAATTATTAAAGTTGTTGAAGTCCGTTCCACTCTTCGAGTTTGCTTCGGCTCCTCTTTTTAATGGTCCAGGACCTTGTAGTCCCAAGAATACTAACATAATAGTTACGGTATGGAAAAAGTTCTAAAATTGGTAAGTTAAACCCAAAATATTATACGTTAACATTTTAACGTCCTTATACGAGTTGTATGATATTTAATAAATTAGCATAAATGTACCTGGGCACTATTGATGGGCTCAGTTTTATCTCAATTGTGTTAAAAAATCATTAACTTTCCGATTCTCACCTTCCGGTCCAATAGTTTAATTGGTTTTGACTTTTAAACAGCTTTAAAATGTCGGAATACTGAAATGCTACTCAATTTTAAGTCGTGCTTAAGTATAGTTCTATCTCTACAATTTCTTTGTAAAATGACAGAGACAGCACGATATTTGAGCAAGACTTAAAATTGAGTAACGTTTCAGTATTCCGGCATAAATTAAGTTAAAAAATATAGGTATTTATCACGTTACAAATATTACAGTCAGAAAAAGGTTTAAAACAACTCCTAATATTATCTGTATGACTATTATAGTAGGTCTGTTATGCATAAAGTTTGCAACAAAAATAGGACGAGCACGGAATTTGACACGACGCGACGTTCAGAAACTTTTGCAATTGCAAGACTTTATATTTTCATATTTTTTTATAAGCAGATTGGATATTGATTTATGAAAATAAAACATTAATAGGTGTTTGTCCCAATTATAAAGTGTTACTTAATTTTAAATATTACCAATAAAATCTAATTGTCTATGTTTTTTTGTTTAGTTGTATTACTGGTAGTAGCTCGATCGAATAGGTCTATCACGAAATTTAGTTAGTCTATGGTGTACTAGGCATTGATGTTGCGTTGCCCTTGACTCCCTCTATCTAATTACTGTTTTTAAAAGTTATTTGCGAATATTTTACTGAAATTGTATGTCTTAACTTTGCTTTCTTCCGTATAAACGTTTTAGACAGTGAAATTTGTGGTTACTAAACTGCTGTGTTCTTTATTTTGTGTAGCGTCACCTGACTGAACTCATTGTCATTTCCCGCCATTGTGGTCTGTGAATTTAATATTAATAAGATTTTCTGTGCGTGCCCCTCAATATTTAGATGAATATTAAATAATTAGTGCACCTAAGTTATGTCATTACACGGTAATGATGTTTGTTTGCTAGAAGTGGAAGACTATAACTTATACGAAGAAGAGGCATCTGATCACGCTTTGACCAGGTATGGATAACCGGCGTGGTCGCCGAAATTTTGCATGTTTATTCGTATTCCTGTTCAAAATTCTTATATTTACTCATATTGTAGTGAGAAATTTGTTATTTTTGTATTTCTTTATCAATTTATGACTACGCGGGCCATATGATGACGCTCACGCCCCGTGCCGGCCTGTAGTCAGCTGTTGGGCCGCCATGTTTGGTCAAATCGAATAGGCGTAGTAGGCGCCTCCACCTAACGCAAATGTACTATCAAACATATGTAAACTAGCGTAAAAACATTCATTCATGTTTTTTATAAACAAATTCAATGCTAATAATATTCTGGATATTTAAAATTCGTTAACAATAATTATGATGTACTAGGATTACAGTACATTGGAATAGTACTTACATCTGTGCCAAATGTTTAAACATTATTATTATTATTAAAACCAGATGTCTAATAACAAGATGTGTAAAAAATGTTGTCTAATAGCAATTATATTTTCCTTTAACACTCACAACTTTTAAGTCAACTTGATTACTGTATAAAATCTGCTTTTGCATTATATTATTTTATTAATTAATAATTAATTATAATATAGTCTTTTATCTTTATTTAATTATTGCATTTTGAACAATATCCTATTAAAACGACTACTCCTTAACAACAAAAGTTAAAAAGCAAATATATAGTTTGTACTTGAATTATGTTCCAGAAAAGTGTGGTGTATTAATAATGATACTTTTTTATTTAGACATTTTTTGCCGATTAGAAAAGCAACTAAGCTATTTTTCTCTTTATGTTACTACATTCTGAGGTAATATTTTGTTTTAATTTACAGTGACAAGCATCCAGGAACAGGAAGAAAGACAATGGAGGCTGAAAAGCGGATTCGAAGAGAAATTGCTAACAGCAATGAACGTCGACGAATGCAGAGTATTAATGCTGGCTTCCAAGCACTACGTACTCTGTTACCACGTCATGAAGGAGAAAAGCTAAGCAAAGTATGTAGTATATTCCAATAATGTTTTTCATGCCACAAATCTTTATTCCCATATAAGCGATGTGATCTTACTTTGTCCAATTTGTTTTATTTACTTGTTTGATATCCAATTATTTCATATTTCTTTTAATACTAAATATAATTATGTTAAGGTCAAATATTAAATATTTTTTATTACATGGTAGTTATACTGAGAGGTTTTTAGTTTAGTTTTAATCTTAGATATATCTTCATAGATTCAATCAAAGGTGTAAAGTTATATTTTGTGCTTTATAAATTTATGAAACTTATGCTAACTAAATCTAAAATAAATATAGTTAGGTAACTGGTGGCTTGTCCATATAAAAATTAATAGCTTTTGTAATTTAAAAATATAGGAATTTGCTATAAACTTGATAAATATTTTTAAGACAAATTATTTGTATTATTTATATATTTTTATCACTATTGGTACATACCAATACTCCCAGTATTGGTATGTACCAATAGATGAGTTTCCACTGATTTAAAAATTATGATAAATAAAAAAACAAAAACAACACAAAATAACTCAGATTATTTGAAAAATATAATCGGTCACAATTAACAGCTGTACCTCTATAAAAAAGTACTGTACAAAAAATCTAAAATCATAAATGTTTATTTTTGGAGTATGCATATGTTATTACATCTTATTATATTATTTTACAGGCTGCCATACTACAGCAGACAGCTGAATATATTTACAACTTGGAACAAGAAAAGACGAGACTTCTTTCTCAGAATTGTCAATTGAAGAGATTGCTAAATCAACATGAAGGAGGTGAAATACCCCTGAAGAAGAGAAAAGGAGATATTATCACTCATGTGCCAGCCATAATTCCGGACTCTACTGAAGATACTTTAACCACATCCAGATCACCTGAGCCAGTCGCTGTGATATCTGTGACAAGTGTTCCACAGAAAAAAGAAGTGGAAAGCAGTGAATTACGAGTTCAGCTGGATCGTGAACGGAGACTTCGACGGCACCTAGAAGAGCGTCTACATGCACTTGAAGCTCAAATTTACCCAAACAGTACCCACGAATTAAGTCGTCCTGTAATTCATTTTGAACAAACTGACATTGCAGAATGTAAATTGGAAAGTGAGGAAGTAGAGCCGCCCCCTGTTGAGCCCGCCGTTGTAGCAGCTCCGTTACTAGAAGCTGCCATCAAAGCAGAGCCACGTGTTGAAGTAGAAGTTCTTCCTGATGCAAATCATGATGCACCATCACGACTCTATCTCGCGAGCACTAGTCGACAGAACTTGGAAACTATTGTGGAGGCCATTCGTCACCTTGAGGGGGATCATTTGTTCCGTGAAGAAGCTGGTGATGCACCTCTAGCTCTCACTAAGAAGGCAGAACATCCACCACCTCCAAGACCTGGTGTAATTGTTGTGAAGCATTCGTGATTGCATTTCTCTTGTTTAGGACTTTAAAAGCTCGTAAATTTGCTTTAGCTTAGCGAGCACTCTTGACCCTCCTCGAATATAGTTTTAAATTTTTAGTTGTTTAAAATCTTTTCCAAAGTGACGAATCGATAAGTCTGCGTCTTTGTTTATTTTTATAACGCATTGAAGTCGAATCGATAAGTGGTATAGAATTAGCTGGATGCGTTGTCGCGTATGCCGAACGGCGCTGTGCTTAGTTTAGTCTCAAATGTAATTATATTAAATTTTATGTTAATTTGGCTGTATGCAGCATGTGTTGATGGAAAGAGGATTGACTGACTTGTGTAAGATTAGATGATGAAGGATATAGTACACCATGCCGCGTGCCAATATGATTCAATTTCATAAGGCAATATTTTTGGAATGGAATGAGAAATAGGAGTGAAAATTTACTGAATAAAATATAACTTTGGCTATCCACTAATTGGCATAGTCATATAAATGATCATGGAGGCTTACTTGTGAAGTACTAAAGTGCACTGGATTGTTCTTTAGTGAAAACATAGCTTATGTAGAAAACCCTGCACTGAGCATTTTACATTTACTATTACAGTAAAAAATTTGATCACTGTTAGCTTGTCCAGCTTAAGGCAGATTGCAGGGTATGCAGCAGGCATGCGGCGATAAAAGTTTTGACTTACTCAGTTATTAATTAATTTAATATTAAATCTCGATACTATTTTAATTAATGTATGAAATAGTCACATGATGTAAAATTTGTAGGTGCATAGTTAAATAATAATGGTGTTTTGGATTAGTCACTAAATTTGACCCTCATCAACACTATGTTGGTGTGCCATTTGTATTAGTATACATAATAATTTCCTTGCGACAGGATACTCTGACTTCAAAATATAAAATCACTTCGACATTAAATTGAAAAATTGATAAATACTATAATTATAATAATGTATTGACTAATGTTTATCCAGTGTTGCTTCTTTTTTGTTCATGTTAGATAGAATGCCCAGTGTAATGAGTATTTGATGTGTCATTAGTAAATTATAGGCGCTTTATGCAGCCATCCCTAAATTATAGATACAGAAATTTTAGAGCATTCCATGTTGTTGCATTCTCATTGAAGAGAATATCTCATGCAGAATACTGCATGAGATATAGTTAATTGGAACACAAGTTAATGATGTATTTATTGTATTCAATTTAACTGATTAGTGTAATTATGTATTGCTTCATATAAGCATTCTTTAATTGAAACTCTACTTTTAGGTCTTAATCAGTTAGGATTTATAGATAGATAGTGTAGTTGACAACAAGTAACTCTGTGTTACTAAACACCCCATTTTACAAAATGTTTCATTTAACATTTTTTTTGAAAGAACAACATGTATCATGTCACAAGTGGTATAAAATAATTCATAATAATAATATAATCTGTAAACAGGCACTGGATCTAAATATATTTTGACACCGATTTTCAATCAAGTTATTCATATTGGAAATTACAGTTATTATTCTTCTGTACCAAATAGGTGACGATATAATCTACCCTTGGGATTTAAAAAATTAAAGTTAAAAATTAAAGTGGACAATCATGTTTCACTTTTACTTTATAAGAGTTAAGGTTCACAGTTCTTACATTTTCTGTGACTTAGGTTATGTAATTCTATACAGTGATTAGTTAACATTCGCTTTAATGTGCTGACATTTTTTTTGTTAAAAATGTGAAATGCTGTGCTCTTTTGTTAATATTTTTCAATCGTAAGTTTTGAATGTATTTTAAGTTTGACTCAGCAACAGAGTGGATGAACAAGTACAACGCATTACAGACATCATAATGTTATGGTCTTGTCTTGTCCATGAAACCATATGAATTTTTAAGACTGATCAATTCAATATTAAGTTATGCTAGTTGAAAGTCACCATATTGATAGAATAATGTGTGTGTGTGTGTTACGTTTATGTAGCTATTTATATGTATGTATGTTGTGATATTGTAGTCCAAAATTGTGTTGTGAACCTGATAATTTTACAGAGATCAAAATACTGTTTAACATTAGCAATAAAATGTCAATCATACCTTATGGTAGGTACGTACATGTAGTCAAATTTTATGTGTAGATAAGTTTTCCATTATGAAAATTTAAAATATATTTATACACGAGAGATCTCTCTAACTCTATCAGGTTATTAGATATTGTGGTGTGATACAACGTATTTAGTGTATGTATGTAATAGGACTATATTCTAATTTCATAGCCCTCTAAACACGAACTCGGTTAAACTAATTGAAAAAAATCATAATTGTATAATATATTTATGTGACATTACCGATGATGAGCCTAAACCCTGTCTGTCTGGTAGATATAATTAAAATATTGCCAGTGTATGATTTTTTTGTGGAATGTTAAACTTTCAATGTTGATATACACATGATGACACATTTGAGTTACATTTTGTACTCAAACTTAAGATACAGTAGATAAATACGTGTTTCGTATGTTTTTTGTTGACTGACGGACTAAATATTTTTATTAAATGTCATCTCTGTTTTTAAGGCAACAAAATAAATTATTTGTGGTAAGAGGAGCCTTTTTACATACTTTTCGTTCCCGACGCTTATTTCTCACTCTGTTTCTGAGTCCATAGCTATAAGAAGTTGTCTGCCTACCGCCTTTATATTATGTCAGTATAGGATAAATAACAATGTAACATAACGGACTTGGTTATACTATTAGTGTAGTCAAAAATAGTAATAAGAGATTTTAAGTCAAAGAAGCAAGTTGAATTGTTTAAAATGTGTTATTATTTATGTCTTAAAGTATTAAAATGGTTATTTCTTATTAATTAGTTTGTAAATGGTGATCGTCTGTATATTTAATCGACATCTTTTCTTTGTATATTTCTCTAAAAACCAATAAAACAAAATGTTTGAAACTTAAACACTATATGTTTTTATTAATATATGCATGCATTTTTTTCGATCTTTAAAAGACTGACGATATTTACTAAATCATCAAGACAGTCCTTTACTTAAATGCACAATATGAAAACCTAGTGGTCTCTTATATAATTATATTAAATAGTAATCTCGGAAAAGCATTTTAATTATCACTGTCAAGTCAACTAGTTTCTAATAAGGCAGTGTTACAATGGTCACCTAATTCTAGATTTGATTACGAAAAACTAAAATTAAGACACATTTGTGTCAGTATCATTTGTTTTTTATATAGATATTGTGAAACACTGATGAGAAAAGTATAATCAACTGATCGACTTGATTGTAGATTTAGGTGTACCTACGCCCGAATACTGAAACGTTACTCAATTTTAAGGCACGCTTAAGTATAGTTCTGTCACTACATATTCTTTGTAAAATGACGATATTTAAGCACGACTTAAAGTTAAGTAACGTTTTAGTATTCCGGCAAATGTCTCACTGCTCACACTTAGCTATAATTTCTACCAACTTGTAAGTAATTAATATTGTTGTTAGTAAGTTATAGTTAATATTGATCATAATTTTTTATCATTCTAATAGACAGATGGTGAATGTGGCATGTTTTATTGGTTTTTAGCATGTTCAATGTGAATATTTAAATTTTCTACACTCTATCGCATTTTATTGTAATGGACTAAGTAGGTGTTATTTTAAACATTATGCAAAATGAAACAATTGAATTTCCACAATTGTAAGTCATTATTATTTTGACAAACATATATGTTTAAAATAATTCAAGTAACTATAAAACCTTATAAAAACGTCGTTCAATTAAGTCATCTGGTAAAATATTTTATAAAATAAAATTAAGTTTGAAATAAAAATCGTACTTGATTGCCACAGTTTCAATTGCATTTATCCATAGTGTTTTATTTATTGAGCTTCTTATTTCAGTTTTGTGAGTCCAAAAATGAGTGGTAGGGTGAATATATAAAATAATTTTGCGGTGATTTACTCCGTGTTTAAATTAGTGGGATCTGTTTTATAATACTAAAAACGTTCTTGTGGAATCAAGTTCTAAATTAAATCGTGTTAATATATATTTTTCCATAATTCATCCTCTCACTAAGTAGGTAGCTCTAGTTCCTATAAAGATGGCTATGATATGTATGAAATCAACAGTTAATTATGATAAAGTGTAGAAAATAATGCATGGGTGTTTCCATTTTGATATGAAATTGATAAAAATATTTCCTCTGATTTTAATTGTACCACATTTGACCTATATTTACCAATATTTATAAAAGATTTAAATTATAGTGTTTCATTTAATTTCCCGATGTTAAAAGAAATTAAAACGTAAGCTATTTCTTGAGGAATGAGGATTGAATGTGTTCAAATTGAAAGAACAAATCCATTCTACTTTATCTACTTTCACCATACAGTTTTGTTAATACCTATTATAACTTTCACAGAGATTAGCTTGGTCTAGTTTGGGAACAACACAATAGTTAAGTACCTACGTAATAGCTTTAGCATGGACATGGACCAAAATAGGTAGCTGTATTCATACTAAAAACTGTACAGAGCTGAAGAGAGAAAAAATTAATTGATATTTCATATTATGATTGGGAGATTCGTGTATTGATTACTAGCTACACCAGTGCGGTTTCACCCGCATTTTTTATGGGGCTTATAATGACTGCTCCCGCCTGGGTGAGGCGGGAGGGAGTATCAGACTTACTAAAGACCACCCTGTTCTCTCACTCACTTCTCCTGCACTTCGAGCCGGAACCCCGGTAACCCGCTAGGTTCTCCGCGAACGGTTTCACCCGCTTAGCTCGCCTTATTGATAGTAACGTGATGTTTCATAGCCTATAGCCTTCGCGATTTTTACTTAATAAGGGATGACATAAGGATTGTTAAATTTGACGCGAGCAAAGCCACGGAAAACGGCTAGTCTATATTATATAATAATAATATACCTAATAATTTAGGTAAATTTTGAGTATACACATAAATAAATATTCAATAATCAAAATTATAAGAAGGTTCTAATCCGAGGAAAAGAAGATATTCAATAAAAGTCTGGAAATAACCGCAAACAGAAGGCGTATGTAAAGTGCTACTTAATCTATTTCTACCTATATTTTTTCAATACAGCTTTTATTTGGGTCATGTTCAACCCTGAAAAACCCTTGATAGTAGATACAGTATTTTTTGTGCATTTCATATAATTTTATTACCTACTTACAAAATATTATAAATGATATAAGAAGAAAATTCAAAAATAAATTGTGATAAGTAAGTGATAATATGTATACATAGTTTGAGAGTTAAAAGTTAACACCACGATAACCTAGGCCTTTTGTTTGGCCTCCACGAGTGAATCATTTTTGTTCGTTATTTATTCATACAGATGCAAGGTTGTTTTTAGTTGCTCTCAGAGTTGGTCAAACGAGTAGACGTGTATAGTGTCAATGCCGTAAGTTCAAAAGATTTTAGTGGGAAATAATAGGAACCAGTTGCTATTAGTGAATTTTACGTTAAATACATATCCATATAAGCAATATTGTGAGTACCACCCTACTTTTGATTGTAATTCATTATGATTTGTTTGTTATTTGGTTATTTAGACTATTAAATTACCTGCTATTTTTAAAACAATTGGACCACTGCCCAATGCATGCTTAAATAACGATTGCATTTTTTTCAAATAATGGTTATCCTGGTTGCATAAGAATTCACAGAAATGTCTCGTTCCCGATTAACAAAATTTGGTTCCTGTGTTTTAGAAGTCACATTCAAATTTATTTTGAACTTCTACTAAGTATAATATTAGGTGCCTAAGTACTTAGTGCATATTTCCTATGATTGTTTTAGTACATAATTATGTATTTGTAAACGTTAATTTCTTTATATTTTCTAAGTTTTGTTCCTACTCAGGTACCAACGTACTTATACTTTCTTACTTACTTTCTTGTGACATAGGTACTAACCTATTTAATCTGGGGGCACGGCAGTGCCCCCGCCAAGTCGAGCGCAAAGCAAACACTGCCGTACCATCCTTTACTGGAACCATTTCGCCGCATTTTCATTTCCCTATTTGAGAACCTCTGGATAAGACCAGAACGCAGAAATTTTCTTCATCCAGTAAGCTATAATCACATACTTAAAATCCAAAATTTCAAGTCTACAGGTCAATTAGTTCCGAAGTTAAGCGAAAGCAAAGTTTCGCATTTATGACACTCACTCATTATCATCAAAATAGAACTAGTACTTACTTCCCATAACCTCAGACAGCTGAAATTTGGTACAGAGTTAGGGTTTTATGACCACATAAAGGGAAAACTATAAAAACTAGGATAATCGAAGACCTGAAGTAACTGGTGAACCTGGATTTTAAATAAATAAATTACACTAAAATATTATAATATACACTAATTATATTTGGTCAAATATTCACACGTTTCTACAAAAAGAAGTGAAATCCCACCAAAAACAGTCTGTAAAAATCTAGCCAAGTCTCGATGGAGCTGCTAGTTTATCTGTAAAAAGTAATAAAATATAACAAAGTCGTGCCAAGTCTAAGGTTCTTTATTGCGATTTCGTTATTATTATAGTTAATGTTTTGTGACTTGGCCATTGAAGGGTAACACCGCATTTTCCAAGTGGCAATTTTCCATCGTCAATGGGTAGCGGTTTTGGCGACAGATGGGTGCAATGGTGTCATGAAGCACCTGGTTTTGTACCCTTCAATGGCAAAGTCATTACAACAACATTACAACATTAATTATAATAATAACGAAATCGCTATAAGGAACCTTAGAGGCTTAGACTTGGCACGGCTTTGTTATATTTCATTACTTTTTAGAGATAAACTAGCAGCTCCATCGAGACTAGGCTAGTTTTTTACAGAATGTTTTTGGTGGGATTTAATTTATTTAGGTATTAGTACTATTTTATAATAGGTACCTACCTAATTCGTCTGTCAACTTCAAGTTAGGCATCCATGTGTGTGAAGCTGCTATTCCAGTGGTTTTATTTGTTGACTTATGCAGTATCGATATTTGATAATGCTAATCGATGACAATTTGACATTTAATTTGAATATATGTAAGATATACTTAAGTTAGATAAATATCTACAGACATATAGGTAGGTACATAGGTGCAGATTTAGATATTTAAATAGAAATGAATGCGTTAAAAATAGAAACCAAAGCTACGTTCTTGCCTGTGTTTATGTACCTACATATAACCAAGTGGTAAAAGAAAATTTGTGTTTGTTTATAAAGAAGTGGTCCAAATGGCTAGGCAGTATTTTTATGTCCTATTCTAGTCTATCCTTTCATTTCCTAGTCTAGTCGGTAACCTTTTACCGATAACTGTTACCATGTATCCTTTAACCGTCAGACAAAGGGTTCGCTCGCATTGCTTCACCCGCTGCTCTGCACCTCTGCTCCTATTCGTCGTAGTCGTAGCGAGATGTTTGATAGCGAGATAAATGGATAATAATTTTTATTCTACGCAATATTTTCAATTCAAGCAATCACCAGATTACCTACCTAAATAGCGTTCAATTACCTACCTCAATTTAAAATTAGGTACTAAACAATCTCTTCTACGAAGCTCTTATTTTCTTTTGTTTTATGATATATATATTCATAATTATAAGTAAGTACCTACTGTTTTTATAATAAAATAACTATCGTGAGACATACTAAATTAACTAAAATTCAGTAGGCTGCGCGACATCGCCGCATAGCACACGTTGCTCATGAAGAAGAACCCCTCTGTGGTTCGAAACTAGTAGAGCTTTTCTTAGTGTATTTTCGTGAGTAACCCGCAATTTTTAGTTAAATTAGGTACCTACTTACGTAATACTGGGTAGTAAGTCGTCAAAGTCAAAGCATTAAAATATTTTCAATTAACGCTTAATTAGGCACTTTAACGTCAAAATTGAATTAGCTACCTATTCATCAGTTCATCTGTTAGTGAAGATGGGTAATAAGTATCCACCTATGGACTAGGACTTACTCTGACGTGCCAAGCCTAGGTACCTACATAATCTATTTTATTTTACAGAATATGGATAAGTCATTCTTATTTTTAATTATAACAACATTATGTTTTCAATATTCTGGACAAAATGCAGTGGACAGTAAGGTTTTAAGGTTTGTATAAAACAATTTATTAAATAAACGACAAAGAAACACATCTATTATCTTGATGCAATACCCAAATTGCGGCAGTTATGTTGCGAGTCCCACATCACAGACCCAGGTTCAGCCTATGGTTATTCATCGGACCATGTAAAGATTCAAATATGTACACCAAGCGTAGGTACTCCTTGATTTCCTTGAATTTCAAAAACTCTCCTGGTTATCTAGCAAGTTGTAAATTGAGTACACAATAGAAACCATTTTTGACACGAGTTCCTAGGTGCATGGCGTATTTTTATACGAGCAGGAAACGCACGTATTTAGAACGCGTTTTCGGCGCTTTAACTATACGCTGATTGTTGCGCTTGCATATTTTGTTTGTAAAGGTGCGTGTACAGTGTACACGCCTAAACGGGCGTCTCACGATCGCTCCGTGTCATTAGGTTACGTGTACCCGTGTACCTGAACCTCATAGGTCTCGGATGAAGCGCGTATACGCGCACGCGCCATAGACGCGCGTTACCTGTACGGATAAAAATAAAGGTACTGTGTGCTATGGGCCAAGTAAGTCTCTATTAAAGTGTTTTAAATTTTATAGCACTATAATACCAACCACTAATGTTGAAAATGATAACTTAAGAACAACAAATATGAAAGATAACTCGATACCAAAAGCTATAAATAATTTTGGATATAATTTACTAGTCAAAATGATGAACGAAAGGAAAAACGAAAACATCGTAATTTCACCAATAGGTGTCGCTGGTAAGTTTAAAACATTTTATTTTTTTAGGTATCTACTTAAGTCAGTTTTATTATTACTTATGGTAGGTACTCCCACAATAAGTACTGCTAAACTAAAATGTTCATTGTACGCTTGCTTATATTAATATAGGTAATGCTTACTTAACTAAACATTTTCAACAGCAGTACCTATGAAAGCACTAGATAAGATATTTAAATAGTAGGTAGGTATATCTTTTTTAAAATCAAAAAATAATCAAGTCTACCTATCTACTACCTACGCACCTACTTAGTCTGTAATAACTCCAGTCACAACCTCCCGGATATTGTTAGTTTTTGTGCCATGATCAACTCTTGGTAGTTATCTACCTAACCTACGCTACTTAATCAAATCACAATACCTGTCCTCACCACACTAACTAATGACTTATTTCTCACTTAAGCTCTATGTTAATGTCGTTTGAAAGACAATTGGGGTACAAAACCTAGATAATTCAATGTCAACTTGTATATTAATCAACTTTTCTAAAGCTTTAAGAAGTAGGTAGTTTTTATATGGACGCGCTTATTTTTACTAAGCACAAAACAACTGGGATGTAAAAAATATAATAATACGTACCTACCTACATATATACTATACTATACCTACTTACTACTTTGTAGTCTAATTCTTGGAGAAGATAACAGCAGTACGAGATTGTATTTTATTACTTAGTACATACTTAAGTAGTTACCTAACTAAAACACTTCTTCATTCAAGCAAAAACAAATACCGACTTGTAATCACTTTTATATCATATCTATGGTTAATATACAACTTTAAGTATACATAGTCAATTTTGACCTAGATACTTCTGTAGTGTAGGTGTGGTGTGGTGTGGTGTCTGAAAGTCTGAAGACACTGAAGATGAAGTGGCCATCTGCCCATTAATCATGATCAATGCCGTAATGTGTTTAAAATGAGTGTGAAACTAGTCTTACTACTAGATAGGCAAGACTTACCTACGTATTCTTATGAATATAAAAAACATTGTACCTAGGTAGGTACGATGTATATGATACGTTTACGCATATAAATAAATAAAATCAATATTATTGTTCAATTACTGTTTCAGGTCTGCTTGCCATGACACTACTCGGAAGTGTTGGGATGACACATGATGAAATCGCAGAGACCATCGGATTTTCCCAAGGTACAAATTGTCACAAAGTCGTTGTGCAAAGGCTTGCGTTATATCTTTCGTTTTACTAATGGAGAAGGTGTGAAATTTGTCGCGTTTGGTTACACAAAATGGTTTTTTAGTATAAACATCAATACTTACCTAATTCGTGATCAGTTAGACTACACGGTTGGTGCGGTGGGTGGGCAACTCGCTGCTGTGCATCATGTCACGGGATCGATTTCCCGCACGGAACAACACTTAGTAACGAGTAATCCACAAATCGTTGTTTCGAGTCTGGATGTCATGTGTATGTGAATTTGTAGGACGTTTGTAAACGCACCGTTTTTTTTTTTTAAAGATAGACATTAGTTAAGAGGTCAGTAAAGTATATTATCTAATATCTTTACGTACGATTACCTTATGGTGCATCCATATCTGACAAACGCAAGATGATCGCGAGCAGCATTTGGACGCACCATTATACAAGGAAGCTGTCTGGATCAAATACATAGTATAAAGAATGAATGAACGCTACTTACTCACCTACCTACCTCGTCTACGTATATGTATATATACACATGTATACACATATGTGCATGCATGGATAGAGATGTAGAGACCTAATAATGTGTTTGTTTGAGTGCTTGTGGATGGAATAAATAAGTTGTCTCAAGTCTGACACTAAGTTTTATTAGGTAGGTATATGTGGAGTTATATACAGATAAATAAAATTGGAGTGTCTGTTTGTAATATTAATATAACCACTCCTTACTACATGCATAATATGAATAGGTATACATTTTTGTCTGTCTGTTTGTACCGGCTAATCACTGGAATGGCTGTAATGATTTTGCATGACTTTTATTGGCCAGGTAGCTGATGTACTAAGGAATAACATATGCTAGATTTATATTGGAAAATAGAAACTAAAAACAGTTAATGTTCTAAAATTCATATTCTACGCGGACGAAGTAGTGGGCAACAGCTAGTGAAACTATAAACTTAAAATGAGTCTTAAGTTCTTAACGTTTTACAGATATTCTACTAAATCGCAGAAACCACGAATATTTCGGCGGACTACTACAGAGTTTGAATATGAACGATTTATCAAAAACTTTGTACGCTGACGCAATATTTGTAGACAACCACGTGCAATTACGAGAGTTGTACAGAAGTTATCTGCATGGTGTGTACGGAGGCGATGTGTTACGTACTGACTTCCAAGAAACCGAAGAATCTAAGAACAGTATCAATGAGTAAGTTTCAAATTTTTTTTTTAAGTTTGTATGATATCGATACCTATCTTTATTTTTTCCTATACGGTCTTTTTCTGCCGTCTAGGCGTCTACCATTAAGTATTCAGTGTTTACGTATAGGTAAGTTAGCATTTAAGTACTAATTTAGTTTTAATGAAAGTCACACATGAAATCACTATCTTGTTTTAATTTTTAGGTGGGTGAGTAAGCACACGGAAGGAAACATTGATGAATTTTTGAAAGATTCTCTGCCTCCTCATACTAAAGTAGTACTTTTAACTGCACTGTACTTTAGTGGTAGATGGAAACAACCGTTTGCACCGCAATTCACAAGAAAGTAAGCTTTCTGATTATTTAAATTAGCTTATCTATTATACTTCCTATTATGAATGTTTAGACCAAACCTGTAAACAGGTGTAGATACATCTTAAATGTTCCGAATATGATTATAGGATGGGCTTCAAAAGGGCCACAGATGAAGTTATGGCTGACATGATGTTGAATTTCGGGGAGTTTCGTTACAAAGTTTCTGAGGAATATGGTTAGTAAGTCTATTAATACTTTGATAATTTTTATGTCGATTTTATTTGAGTTCCTTATGTGGGTAGGTTAATAATTTAATTGCTAAGTTGGCATGCAGTTCCTGGGCTGTGAGGACCGCAACGTGCCGTGGGTTTGATTCCGCGCAAAACCAATCTTTGTGTAATGTACTACACAAATTGTTGTTCCACCTAGGTTATTCTGTAAGATGTCAATTGATGTCAATTCGAACCCTCGAAGTGAGCACGATCGCGGCATGCCATGTCATTCGTTGTGAGAATAATCCGACCAATGACGAACGAGCATGCGAGAGTTCGAAATGACATGTTACAGAATAGCCTAGCAGGTGTAGGTATCATGTCATATCAAATAATGTCGAATTTGTATTTTTGTTTGTGAATGCACCTATGGTACAGGAGAAAATCTTAGTGTGTGGGATTACATTTAAATACTCTATAAGCAAAATATTTATTTTCTATTTCAGATTTCCACATGATAGCATTGCCATATAACGACAGTGAAACTTTCATGTATGCTTTAAAACCAATATCTCACAATAAATTAACATTATCGGAGCTCATGGCAAATATTACCAACAAAGTTATTGATGATACAATCAATGAAATGGATGTGAAAAATTGTGTGATTCGTTTCCCTAAGATGAAAATCAAAAGTACAACAAAGCTTGAGAGCACATTGCAATCTATTGGGATACAAAGTATGTTTGTACCAGGCAAAGCAAACTTCGCGCTTATGGTAAATGGAACTAATGAGTTTGTGAATGAAACTGAAGGACAGACTGACAGATATACAGACAATGGAAATTCAAGCATTTTGGACAGTCTACCCAATCCCGGAATACATGTAGATTCCATAATTCATGATGTAAAGTTAACAATTAATGGTATGTTCTAAAATTATACTGGTAGTGTTAATTTTTCCCATTGGATAATACGGTTACGGTTTACTGAGCTTTGATTGACAACTTAAAAGACATTGCGATAGCAATGTCAAACCTGATACAGTTATTTTTACTACTGGTATTACTGCACATATTACAAAATATTGATCAATAGGAGCCTAGCAGAGTGGGTGATAACAGTCATAATGTAATTAAAATATATTGTTTCAGAGTTTGGGACAGAAGCAGTAGCTGCAACAAGTGGAACACTAACACGGTCAGCTGAAAGTTTCTATGCAGATTCTCCATTTTACATTTTCATTAGAAATGAAAGAACTAAACTAGTGACCTTCAGTGCTGTTATATTTGATCCAACTGAATAATTACATTAAACATTTACTATTTAATCTACATATATAGGATAATTTAACCAAACAACAAATACATGTATGTTTTCTATATTTAATTGTAATTTGAATAACCTAAAAGGCTATAGTTTATATACATTTTTTAAACATAATAATTATAATTGTTATCTTTATCACTTAAATCTTAATTATACTTCACATAAATCTTTATCTTTTATTTTTCAATCTTTCTATTTGTTCATTGAGTGTTTGCTTCCATTGTTCTTCAGAGATGCTCTGAGCCCATTCTGGAATTGAGGCCTGAGGTAGGGCAAAGTTTGCCATAGCTCTCATCACCTAAAGATTTAATAATCAACACATTTACCAATAAGTTTAAAACATTATCAAGATGACATTATAAAAATATACTTCACCTGTTGAGCTCTTTCATTATCCATTTGTATAGCATCTGCATGTCTTGGGGCACTCCAAACTTCCCGGCTTAGGACATTTTCCATTGGTTCTATATTTGGAACATCAGCTGGAGGTGTTTCAGCACTCTACATTAAAAAATACATACAACAGTACATAAGTTTAGGCTTTCATTAATGATATTGGAAGTGAAACAGTGCATTTGATTACTGTCGACAATAATAATTGAATAGTTGTACTAATAGATATGTACCTCTGGGTCATCATCACTATCATGATCTGAAACTGCTAGTTCAGGACCTTGCGCCAAAGGTTCATAGCCAAAATATTCATGTTCTTCATCACTATCATCCCCGTGATTACCATTCATTATCAATTCGTTCCTAGGAGGTGGAACAATTTCGTGAGGGTTGTTCTCTGGAGGATCTGGACCATCACACACCATCTTAGATGATATAATATGTATTATTTAGCTCGCTAGTAAAATTGAGTTGCAGTTTAGCTAATTTCCAAAGTAATTTTTATGTCACCAAAAATATTTTTAATCTTAATTTAATTAAATCTTATTTATATGTGTTATCAGTATCTAATTGCAGGTTCCTTTTTATTTTGTTTGAACTTAAGTTTGCGGAGATGTTTTTTGTTAAATAATTTGTAAAACAAGATTTGACAATTCACTTGAATTGACATTGACATGATAATGCCATTGACACTATTGAGTAGGTATTGACGCTTTTCTCCTATAAATAAATCTTTGGTAGGTACCTACAATTCAATTACATGTATAATAGCCTGATTGGCAATTATGCTTTCGAACCGTTTGGGGTTGAAACTTTAGGGCCGTGGGGCCCAAGTGCACATCTTCTTTACAAAGATATTGTAAGGAGGATGGTTGACACTTCAGGTGATCGAAGGGCTGGCTACTACCTTGGGCAAAGGTTAAGCATTGCCATTCAACGTGGCAATGCTGCCAGTCTTTTGGGCACCCTACCTCACGGTAGCGATGAGGAAAATATTTTCTTTGATGCCTTATAATTTTTTTTTTTCATTATTATTATTTTTTCATTAGGTATTATTATTTTTTCATTATTATTATTTTTTAAGGTGTAAATATTTAAACTGTCAAACACCAAGCGGTCACCGGTGACCGCGACCTATTGTTCTTTAATTGTGTCTATAAATACGGTACTCGACGAGTTAAATCTAATTAAATTACATGAAAAATGTGTTTCTTTTGATTCGATTTTTTAAAACCAAACCATTTTCGAGGGTCAAATAATAATAATATAAATAATTATTATAATCATATATTTACTTAAAATTCTCTATGAATTAAATAGTTCTTACAAAATAAAAAATAATATTTAAAAATATAAAATCAAAAAAACAAAACATCTATACCAATAATTTAGTTTTTCCTCGAGAATATCAAATTTTTCCAGGATAAAAAGTACCCTATTATTTAATTCAGACTTCTAACTTCACGTCTGCAAAAATTCAAAGCAATCGGTTTAGTAGTTACGGCATGAAAGTAGAACAAACAAACTCACTTTCCGATTTATAATATTAGTAAGGATAAGGATAGTAAGGATAGGAGCCGACCAGTAGCGGGAGCATGGTCCAAGCTACCGGTGGTTAGGGTTCCAGAGACAGAAACCTCCTCACGATGCGTGCCGTTTCTAGGAGAACTGCCTTATGTATCAGGCCCTTGATCCATCCACCTAACGCCAGCCTCCTGAGATGGATGTCGAGGCTTTTAGGGATTAATCCATTGGCCAACACGACTATCGGCACAATGATAGCCGAATCCACATTCCACATGTCGACAACCTTGTGAAGTTGTGAGCTAAGTCTAGATATTTTATTTGTTTATCTTTCTCAGCTTTCACGAGGTTCTCGTCATGGGGAATGGTGACATCGATTATCATCGTGCGGCGTACTTGTCGGTCTATCACCACTATGTCAGGTTTATTGGCTACAATAGTCCTGTCAGTAATGATAGACCGGTCCCAGTACAATGTGATATGGTCATTTTCCAGAACTGGGTCGGGCACATACTTGTAGTACGATACCTCAGACTCAACAATTCGATAGTGTAAAGCAAGTTTTTTTTTTTAATCTGTTTTATATGTGTAAAGCAAGTTGCTGATGGATAATCTTGGCTACTTGATTATGTCTATGCAAATATTCACCTTCGGGGATAAAAGGCGTGATGTTATGTTATGTCAGAGGTATCACATGAAAGCATTGTAATTACAATCTACAAACACGTTCAATTTTTTTATCACGTAGTTATAGAAAATATTGAACCAGGCAATGATGTAAACTACATGAACCACAATTAATTTTTGTTACCTTTTCTGAAGCACTTATCAAAAATTATGAAATTGTACCTGTATCATAATTAAATTTTGTAAAAAATCTATGATAAAATACGAGTACATTTATAAAAATGTACAAATATATAAATATAGCGAAAGAAAATGTTCCAAGAGATAAGAGACAGGATATGATTACATTATCATCTTTAAATAACAGTGTCTTTGCCTTTGTCCAGCGGTGGACGTGTTGATTATATTTATTAAGCGCTACAAAAACAATCACAGTGACTGCATATGTATGTACATTAATTGAAGTTGTTTCAGTTGAAGTAAGTTTATCAGTACCTACTTCAGTAGTTACAGTGTCACTGAAAAGAGTGCAAGTGCGGAGTGAATAATATTGTATTTATAGTAGAATAAAATAAAACTTTTGAAACGATGTTTATTGTCGGTACGTAACTACGTAACACTACAAGAGCGCATCATCGCTTACCACAGGCGAGATAGTAGTTAAACGTCGGCTCATCAAATATTAAAAAGCCATACACTTAAGTTTTTTTCGAGCCATTAGATAATATTTTTACAATATCATTATTTAAAAATGTTATTAAAATAGATTATTTGTTGAGGCAGGTCCGTCCTGTTATCATAAACTTTATTATTAAATTAATTACTTTTGTTAGGGTAGGTATGTGTAATTGTTTTAAGTAAGTTTAATTAATGTACTTGTGATTAGTAAATTATTTACGTATGTATGTTATCTCCGGTCCGCCGGTGGCCCGTGTTGCTCTATGGTATGTTATAATAAAAATAGCAGCACCCCCCTGCTTGTTGTCAAATTGTTCTAATGTCATTTTTCATTGTCATTTTCTTTTGTCAGTCTGACAAATTTATTGACATAAAATTTACTGGATTATTATACCATACAAATTATAAAAATAATAAATAACTTCATAATTTTTATCAAAATAGGTAATTTATGGCGTAAATTCGGTCAGTTGGTCGTTATAGGGTTCCCTCTGCTGGTAGTTTGTTTCCCTATTATAATCATGGCTTGGCGAAGTCATGGGGTAAATAATGCTGATATGATACGGAATTTACGAGGTAATAATTTTTATTATTACACATTTATGCACGTTTTGTAATCTTCTTATTTCATGAACATATTTTCGATATTATAAAACAACATATAGATTAGCTTACACAACATGCCAAGGTGTCATTGTAGGTATAGATGTTATTTCGATATTTGCCATCAGAAAATTTAAACGCCGCATCATAAAAGAATTCGTTTGCATTCTATTACAAATTGAACACTATCAAGCACTACTCTCCCAATACACGCTGAGATTAAATTTATGGATGTTGATCTAAAGTACTTAATTAATAAATAATTGCCACATTGAAGTGTTAAATTTTCGATTTTCATATAGTATTTTGGTTGTAATATCGTGTACTGGTAAATTGTGTTGCATAATAATTACATTTCTTACAGCCAATGGCATCATAAAATCAGATGCAGTAGCAAATGCTATGCTATCAGTTGACCGGAAGAATTACTGTCCATATTCGCCATACCATGATTCACCACAAACTATTGGATACTCAGCTACAATTAGTGCTCCACATATGGTAAAGTTAAATATTTATTTTTAGAAAAGATCCTGCAACTCATTATTGATTTTCTTAACGATCTACATGGCTTATTTTAGCATGCTCATGCACTAGAAAGGCTTAAGAATCAATTGATCCCAGGTGAAAAAGCATTGGATGTAGGATCTGGGTCTGGATACCTAACAGCCTGTATGGCTATAATGGTTGGAGAAACAGGCAGAGTTGTGGGCATAGAGCACATATCTGAATTAGTTACATTAGCTACTAAAAATATCCACGCCGATAACCCCACACTACTTACTTCTGAAAGAATTAAGTTGATTGGTAAGTTATATTTAATTGTTGAACAGTAAGAATCTGATGTATTGTAATTTGTAAACATGTCATTTGTACCATCAGCTATGTTGCAGTAAGAATGTTATGTTAATACCAGATGTTTACAATAATACTAGTCCAATTCATGTAGGAAGAATTTATAATAATAGAAACATTATATGATTCATTTCATTATGTTTCATTTTTACTAAGTATAAATAGCATTTTTAATATTGTATCCTTGTTTTCTATAAGCTGGTGATGGACGTCTAGGATATCCTTCAGAAGGACCCTACAATGCTATCCATGTAGGAGCTGCAGCTCCTACATTGCCACAAGCAGTGAGTTGTCTTATGTTTTGATTAAGTGCTTATTGAATAAGTAAAATACTATTATTTTACAGTAGGTACTTGCCAACTAGTCAAATTCAATATTTTTTTCGATCTGTCAAAAACAATAGGTATCTAACTTTCTATGAATTTTGTATAAGATTGTGTATTGTGATGTTATATTTTTATGCGTCATACAGCATACTTATTTCTTAAAAAAATGCTGGCTGAAAAGTACTAAAATTACATTGGTCATAAATTCAATGAATGAAAGTGTGATTATTTTTTAATAGTTTATTGTATTGAACAGACGAAATAATGTATTTTTGATTAAGGAAAATACCCTATTGTTTTCACAATTTTTGTTAATCACAACAAATGAAATTATGAATGTTATTTTATTATGTAGGTTAATTGGGAATTAGTAAAATACTATTTTGACTTAATTTTCAGTTAGTTGATCAGTTAAAACCTGGTGGAAGGCTTATTGTACCTGTGGGACCAGAAGGAGGAGAACAGCATTTAACCCAGGTATTTCCCATAAATAAATATATACATAATGCCGAGTAATAATATCTTTGAAGGGGTAGGCAGAGGTGAACAATTGTTACATGTGAAGTTTGTTATATATATGTGAACCAGAAAACACTACATCCTTTACACAGCAGTTAGTTGTGGACACTTGACCAACTTGACAAATAATATACCATTGATAAATACTACCTGTATGAATTGTCTTAAACCACCCTAAATATTGCTGTTTCGTTTTTCAGGTTGACAAGGCAGCTGATGGTACAACCACTGTTAAGAAACTAATGAGTGTGATCTATGTACCCCTGACTGATAAAGATCGTCAATATCGTAAGTGATGTACATAACTCGGTTAGTTATTGTTTATGTCGTAAACAGTTATTATATTATTAAGACACCTTACTGATGTATTGAAATTCCTGATAATATTGTTCGATCATTAACTAATTTTCTATAATTTCAAGTAGAAATTATGAAACAAACTAAAAACTAATATGTACTTGATAATGTTTTATGTCTTCTACTAAGCTTGGTATAGAAGTTTTCATAAAGTATATTCAATATTTTCAATTTTTATAGACCTAAGGTTTACCTTAACAAATTACATACAATATTTTTATAAACAATAATACAACAACAAATACAACTGCACGCAATACAACTTAAAAATGCAGTAAAGTACAATAAATAGTATGTTTTATTTCAGGTCAAATGAAGACAATATATAATATGTTTAGGTTTTTTAAAAAACCATGACTAGTAGTTACTTTTTTATATATTATTTTCTAATTTGATTATCGTAAGATACTTGCGAAGAATAAGAAGACAGGCTGTTCTTTGCAGGGGTTCCAAAATGTCACATTATTTGATTACACCATATTACTTAGCTGAAAGAATGAATCATCAGTTTGTCTTACATAGATCATCTTGGAATCTAAGCAAGAATAGCGGAGTTTCAACTGTTAAACCTAACTTTGTTTTAGGTACTTGGCGTTGATATTATTTCCCAGTGTGGCCATTTTATTATTGATCATAAGTGTGCACACTCATTGCACCTACTCTCTAAGTAGACAAATAATACTATATCATCCAAAATAAATTATTGTATTATTAACAACATTACTGTATAATATTTTATGGTTTGAAAATAAATTATCATTATTTTACAAAGTTATTATTTTTTTTATTTGGAAATTTTCTCCCTGTGAATTTCTTTTTTCCATATTTCTCATCTTTATTTGCATCTGCAGGGCTAGGCTTGACATGTAGTATGGAATATAAAGTTGATGCTTCATTTTTGTTTTCAATAATTGCTTGCAGCTCATCCTGAAAAAAAAAAACAATATATGACATTAATAAAATTGCTATTGACACCCTTTAAATCGTCACTATCATGAATTTATTTTACTAAACACAACATACTTGAGTAAGTGTAATGAGATGGTCCAATGATATGCCTCTGTCCATGATTCTAGCAATGTTCTTGGAACTTACTCCGGGCAACTTTTGAACAAAATCATGGACTAGAATGTTGTAACGCTCATAATGCATGTCTTCTGCAGTATTGTCACCACTGAGGGCAAGAGCCTCTTCGACATTGGGATTTTTTCTACCTTGCTGTAACAGAAAATTGATGTGTATATAGGTATATCTATTAGTATAAATCAATGGAACATAGAACTCACAAAATATTTCAGACATACTTTTAATTCATAAAACAATTCTGCAGTGGCATAAGGACTGGGTGACCACACTAGCTTCAAACGAGGGAAATGTATTGTAAGCAGTTGTAGCTTTTGTTGTATATCTGCTCCTGATATGTCTGTCGACACCACAAAGTGACCCTAAAAATGGTTTAAGAGTACAGTTTAAATGTTATATTAATTTGAAAATAATATTAAAGGGTTTCTAAAATATAAATAGGTACCTGCAGATTAAACGGTTTGTTCTGGTCGAATTCAATAAGCAAAATAGGTCGACTGTAGTTTCGACACATTTGTGTACATTGAGTATAAAGTCGTCCTGAATTTAGAGATCCAATCAAATCAGAAATTGATTTCCTTTCAACACAGATGTCTGGAGTTAGAATATAATCGCCAATCTGGAAATCGGTGACGAATATGCAATACATTGGAATATTTTGTACCGTAAAATGGGGTGGATAGGGATCAAAGGTGAATGGAGACAGAAGGGGGGGGGGGGTTGAATAAATATTGGGAAATTCTTCATAGTATCGATCCACCCCTCTTCTGTCCCTATTCACATCTCGATCCCTATTCACCCCATTTTACCGTACCTATACAATAATATATTTTGTACTGCTGCTTCTGCCCGCGACTTCGTCCACTAGTGGTGTGTGGGTATTTTTTTATTTTTTTAAGTGGGGAAAATCATCGAATGACTGTTCCCGCCTGGGTGAGGCGGGAGGGAGTGTCAGACTCTTACTGGCTAAAATCCACCCCGTTCCTTCTCCTGCACGTCGAGCCGGCGCCCCGGTTACCCGTTAAGTTCTTCGCGACTCCGAATCGGCATCGGCCCTGTTGGGCCCCATCTGTGGTGGTCTGATGGCTCTTTGAGTTTGGTTCGTACGCTCGGGTCTGTTTCTGGTCGGACGGGGAGCCACCCATGCTCGCCGTCCGCAGGCCCGCGCTTACGGTGGCCGGAGATCGTTCCGCGATCGCCGACTCCCGGTGCGTCCTTCGCGATGGCTGGGTTGCGAGGAGGCAGCGCTTCGCTGCCTCACGCGTCCCGCCTCCTCCTTAGCTAGCATGACTGCTTCGCAAAAGGAGGAGACGGCATCCCAGTCCCCCTCGCTCCGCATCATGACCAGCACTAGGCCTGGACGCGAGAGGTCGCCATCGCCGATCACTTTCCTGAGGGCACGGCGGTGCTCAGCCCACGCATGGTACTCCCCTACTGTGTTCCACCGTGTCCTCAGGGCGGTCCTCGCAGTGATGACACCACCCGGGCGTTTCCTCCCGCCCCATCAGACACAGATACCTCCCGAAACTTCCATGTCCGATAAGGACCTGCGTCAGGCGGTAGGTGAGGACGCTGTAGCGTCTCTCAAGCCACTCCTCAAAGAGGGGACTTACCGCTGCGATGGCAGCGAGCCCAGGTGTGTGGGTATAGAAGTGGATATTAATAAGGATAATAATTACAACAATGCCTCTTTGTACACATCATTAGTTGTATTGCCTTTTGAAATCAAAGCATATAAGTTTCTGGGATAGCTCACGCACGACAAAGCTACATAAAGCCACAGATAAAGCTGACCGTGCGAATGCTAGCCTGACGTTCCTGAAATGCAGTAAGTCCTGCTGCATGATCCTGTTCAGATTCCTGTGATCGAATTAATCTCATCCTTTTAGAATCTCTGCTACATTGGCTGAGATCAGACTTTTTTCAAGGCATTCTCACTAACTGTGATACAACTATTATATTAACCAATTAAAGTAATGTAAGTAAAACAACAAACTAAACTAACAATAAAACTAAATTAAAATCTTACTACTACTTACTGCTTAATGATTTTTCTAAGCAAATGTTATTGAAATTAATGAATGTTTAACTATTATTTTTTGGGTAGTATTTAAACGAATATCAAAAAATATCCTTTTTCTTTGCAATAAGATTCCGAATTCCCATCAAAATTACTGATTGCACAGCAAAATATTTAACTCAAAATATTACTAAACACACTACAATTTATTTTCGCAGAGTACAACGATTTTGCCTAAAGCAAAAGCTTTCATTAATGCACAGCTAATAATCTTAATGCACATTATATAGGTAAACTCTTTTTCTTTTAAATATAGCTTCTATTTTTAAATTATTTACAACAGTTTTTCTAAATAAAGCAGCATTTTAAATTCACTTATTTTATTTAAACTAATATTTTTAATATAAACGGCTAAATGGTATGAAAAGATTTGAAAAGCAGTTAAGTGATATAACGCTCGGCGGCCGCTACCGCGGCACCGCTCGCTACGCTCGCTCGCCTTGCGCCTTGTGAGGGTCGCAGTTCTAACCTAACCTAACCAAATGTTTCGGGGTGCCCAAAATTGCTGTGCAGTCAGTATTTATGCTATGTATGTAGTATTTTTGTACAAAAACAAATATAACCGTATTGCATTATAAGGAAAAAAGGATTGTCGTATTGATGTATAATTTCGAATTATCTGCAGTTTAAGTTTTGTAGAACATTTCATTTGTTTGTAATGAAGTAAGTTATTTGATGTAAAAAAGAATATAAATGATGAGTATGTATTGATAGGCGATTATTTATTTGATATGCAATTTATAATATCCCTTATTTTTTTAACTTCCTTACGAACGTAAAGGTGCCTGGACCTGGGAGGGTTATTATTTTCACAAAAATCTTAACTCCACGATTTAGGATTGTGATGTGACAAATCGTACAGCGCCATCTAGCGAAATCAAACGGAAACTACGAAGAAATTTATACCGTTGCGCTTTGAGTTTAATATACATAATAATAATTTTAATTGAATGTTCGATTTAAGTAATTCAAAAAGTAATTAGTAGGTGTTACACAGATTTGAATATGAAAGTATTTATTACGACGGTAAGGATGAATACAATATTGTGGCATTTTAGTTTTAATGATTGATGTGATGATGCAATTCTTTAGAATGACATATCTTTTTTATTTAATGAACCGATTTACACAAAACAAAGAGTAAATGTTAATCCGAGCAAACCGCAACGTAATAGTGAAAACTGCATTCAATTAGGTTAAGCCGTTTTTGAGATTACAAACATACAGACAAACAGACAAAAATTCTAAAAATTTGCTATTGCGTATATAAAGTTCCCCTAATAAAGTTTCTCTTATTTATCTTCCATGTACAGACTTTTACAATTTTATTCTATGTATTGATATAAATATGCTTACTGCTATAGTGACAGGTTCGATATTGATTCCTTTTTTGTGGAGTAAAGCTGGTAGGTCTGATCGGAACTCTCTCATATCAACAATAACAACTGGTTTTTCTTTTGTCTGATTTTGTCCACCTGAATAAATGAAAACTTGTTAATGATGAAAATTACAATGTTTGAGTAAGAGATTCAGCTGATAACAATAATTTATATGAAAAATAGTCAAGTGATAATTTATTACCAGCTTTTCTAGTGTCCAAGGTATTGTCATCATGTTCCACATTCAAATTAAAATACTCTTCTGTTTTACCATCTTGGTATGATGGGACTACCATTACCTAATAAGAGAAAACAACATAACATAATATGGTATGATTTTATAAGATTGAGTTCTTCTCTGTCAAGAAATAACTATATTCAAGAACATATTAAAGCTGTAGACATATAGCTACAAAGAGTGGTCTAAACCAACATGTTTATCACATTGCCAGTATGGATTAGTGTTCTTATAACTCTTAGTACTTACACTCTTTGTTTGAATTAAGAGCTCGAATGCTTGTTTCTCTCTCTTTAGGGATGTGAGATAGGCCTGTTCTTCAACAGTTTTATCATGTATCATAAAATATACTTTAGTTTTTGGCTCTTCTATAGTCTTACGACATTCAAACAGTTCTATCTGCCTCACAGCTGCCACGTCACAGTGATATAAAACTACATATTCAGGACGTAAGGCGTCTAATGTTCGTTCTAGAGAAAAATTACAGCCACTCTCTTTGAATGTTTGTATGCAAATGATAGGTTTCTCAGTTTCAAGTTGTGTGAAATCAAGATTATCCATCTGTAATAAAATAAAATTTTATGTTATTAATCGAACAATGATGTCAGCTTAAATCTAAGTTGAAGTACATTATTGTTACATGTGCATACCTGAGAAATGGGTTCAAACATACTTTCATCATGTATCTCAGATTTTGCATCACACTGTATAGCAGATTGTGTTAAAGTTAAAATATAGTTTGATTTAATTTCATTTACTAATTCTTCTTTATTATCCCTCTCTTCAACTTCATGTGTAATGGGTATTTCTTCTTTTGAAACAGGTTTCTGTAGAGACATGTATTGAGATGAAACAGAATTGATGGTCAGGTCGTTTCTGAATGCCATATAAAATAGATATTTATAAGGGCCCATTGTTAGGTAATTATTTAGTTGTGAACATGTCCTGATATCTTGACAAAGGACTAATATTTTAGTCTTGTTTAGGCTACCTTTGTTCTTCTTTATTTCTTCTGGTATTTCCTTTAACAGCAGATCACTAAGACATTTCCACTTCGGACATGGTTCTGGGTCAAACTCTGCAAGGATAAATAATTAAAATTTTTATAAGTCGCCTAAAATTCTTGAAACAGCGTAACTTCCTGCAATTTTAAAGAATTTAAGAGAAAGTATGGTACAAATTACCTTGCTTATGGTTAAACACTCTTCCTCTAGCTAGTCGGAATAATTGCTCAGCTGACTCTAAAAGGATCCATCCAGAATTCACTTTAGCATACTCTGAAGTGCTGTATTTACTGACTAATGCATGGAATGAAACAGCATCGTCATGCAGTAAGTTTCTGGAAGTGAGAGATTTTTTGGTGAAACACCACAAAATTTATTGTAGCACTAATAACTACTTATAAATAATTTGTGTTACTCTCTTACACAGTCATACTCCTTAGTACTTTAAGATCTTGAATATATTCTTTAGTTCTTGTACTTAATTGATGCCACACACAGTCCAGCTGTGATTGAAGAATTTTATGGAACTTTTTAGTAATACAGTTTTCTGTTGTTATTTCCTGCAATCAAAAGACGGTCATTGTAGTAGACATTACAATGTTTATGAACAATTGTACTTATGAAGATTCTACATGTTCATGTTAACAGATCACCCAACCCAAATCAAGTATAATACAAAGCTTTGAGGTTGAAAATCAATTAATGAGAAAATGTTGAAAAAGTTGCTAACATCTGTGATTTAAATACCTGCATGTCTAAAGTCCTGTTGATGCTCTTCAGTTGTTTAACAGTGTAATTAATAATATCAAGCAGACATGTTTGTATGTAACTCATGTTGGTAGTAAGAGGTATATGCAACTCTACCACCTCAGCTTGTCTACTCTTAAGATTCTTGATAATTGAGCCATGGAACCTATAGAAACACAATTTTTATTATTCTGCTTTTAATTTACTATAGTATATTAAAGAGAATCTGATAATGCTAGTCGGTACTAGAAAATAAGCATAACTATTAAAAATTTATTAACAGTAATAATTAGCATTACTAAAAAGTGAAGCACTACATTAGGTGTGACATTGTGCTTCATCATCATTATATCAACCACAGGATATGCACTGCTGAACATATACCTTCCCCAATGACATTGTGCTTACCTTGGCCATAAAAATAATTCAGTCACAAATAATGCTCTCATAACTTTCTCAACTTGATTGTAACCAAATGTAAAAGATATGGGGGAGTTTGAGAAAGCTTTAACAAATCCAGTCTGCAAAAAAAAAAGATTGTTTAGCATGGATTGAATAGTATTTGAGTGGGAGAGTAAATTAAGTACATGTACCTTGTTGTTTTGCCTATAAAGTCTCAGTGCGAATGCTTCCTGACATGACTCCAGCACTGTATGTGCACGCAAAACTATAATACCAGTAATATGAGATATTGGAACACGCTTCTTCAATAGATCTACTACCAATATGCGAGTAGAAACCAAATGAATGCCACCTTCTAAATATGCTTTCTCTCTGCAGTAAGAAAAAAATCTTTTATAGATTACTTTGTAAGCTAGAAAGGTGTTACTATGCATGTTAGAAATAATTTAGTTTAATATTAAATATAAGTGGTACAGCAAATATATCTATTAGCTCACCTTTCAGCTCCTATATTGGGTAATGGTGATAATTTGAATTTCTCATTAAAATATTTTTCTTCATGTTCACCACTGTTCAGCACAAATACTAAGTGTGCAGGATCTTTATAAATCCATAATAGATTTGAAATTATGTTGTTATAATTAATTCCCCTAGAAAAAGAGTAAGAATTAAAAAGAAGTTTGAAATAAAGTGAAATTATGCTATCTACAATCGGAGTACACCACAAGGTAATGTTTATTTATTGAAATACAAAACTATTGCAGTGATGAGTGATTGTAATCTAATGTTTAGTAAATAGAAAATAATAGAGAGATGATAAAGATTTCATTAAAATAAACTTTACATACTTTGCCATTATAACCAGAGCGTCTTTCTCAAAGCTATCTACAAATATTTGTTTTTCGAAAGACAATAAAGGATATTTGGTTTCAATATCTTGCCCGTCTTCAGTATCGATAGAATCTTTATTTGATGCCATTGTTTTATGATGATTTTATTGATGAAGTAAATTATATGATGTCAATTACTATAAAATCACATTACAGTCACAATAATCAAAGAATTATTATAAATTTCTTCACACAATTTAATACGAAGCACTTCAATAATTCAATATATGTATGATTAAATAGCAATTAGCAATATTATTGCGGCAACTACCCCACTACTGTTTCGATAAACTCTTTGCTAATATCAAAGAGTATAATAAGTATAGGGCTTGATATTAGCCCTGACGGGCTAATATCAAGTGTTACATTTCATACATCTATCATATTCTGAACATAAGAAAATTCACCAGTTTTGGTTGAAAGGCTGTAATATAGCTTGGCCTAGCTTGGCTGATCCCTAAACTGAATAAAAAATATGTGTTAGTTTATGGTTAAAGCGGAAATGACGGTTAAATGATACCATAGTTACGTTTCAGGGTTTCCAACCTTAGAGTCTCTTCCTAACTAAATGGGTAAAATTTTACTCGTTGTTGTGTTATTGTAAAGTAATAATGGAAATAATGTGTAGTCCAAGAGTTAAAACCTGTATTTTCTATTTTAAAACCTGCTCCTAAGTATAACAAACACTATCCTAAAAACCCCAAGAAAATTTCGGACCAATGTACGTACGTTGCCTCAGTAGCCAACCAATGTAATGTTTACGTTTACTGTCCGTCCCGAAGTAAAATGGTTCTGTCTTGGTAATACAATATGAGGAGGTTCTCAGGGTTGTAAATTAGTCAAGTAGAGTTCTAATAAATTATATACTTCGTGGAAGACAATAACAATAACAGGTGAACCATTGCAAAAAGCAAACTTCGAAAGCGCATACGCTCATAGCACATTATTAAAACATTACAGAATACACCATGTGATCCTCGTCGGGTACCACGTGCGATGCGAATAGTACCTACTAGTGTTTCATGTGCAATACATGATTTCTTTTAAGCTTAAAAAATGACATCTTTATTTTTTTGTTTTTACTTTTTACCTGGAAGGACTTCTAGAAATAGATTTCACGGTGTATACTAAATAAATCTTAATTTTCTTAGCTGAATACTATATATAGCTGTGTTGGCTGTACATAAAATCCAATATACATACAGGTTAAATTGAACCTTACATTTTTAAGTTTTGATGATTGTATAATGAGTTTTAGGGGTATTCAGAAAAAACTTGGGTAAATTTTGACTCGAAGTGGTAACATTGCAACCACATACCATACCACATAGTCATTAGTCAGTCAGTCGCCATTTTTACTAACGTCGCTGCTTGCGTAGCGTGCGCTAGTCGGTGACGCGTTGTGTTTTAATTAAACTTAAATAACGGTAATTAAGAAAAAATCAACTACTTAGCAGTGTTAGCAGTAGGTACGTATTATTTTTCGTTAAATGAAAATCTAGTCTTTTATTACCTACGTATCTCACGATTTTACGTACCAAATTTTTTCGTAGAATGCAAATGCAAGCCATGAATCAATTCAACAATCGGGGTTTTGGTGGTCCACCGCAACCACAAAGACAGGGTCGTCGTGGTCATAATCGCGGAGGCTTTCGCAATACGAGATTTGATCACAACATGCACAATGCGCAAAGGAATATGAATCACGGTCAAGGAGGTCAACGGCCTAATGAGGTATGTATGATTATATTATCAGTATTGATGTCGATACTGTTAAAATAGTGTTAATTAGGTACTTATTAATTGGGGATTTTGTGAAAAATCTGCACTCTAATCATACTACGTAACTAAACTAAATGATTCTTGATGAAGTGGGTGACGGTGGCGAGTTACCGACGCCATTTTGTTCTGTTTTAGCTAGGCATCTCGTTATTGATTATAGGGCTTCATGGTATATTTTACCAGATAAAAGTAAAATTGTTCATTTCAATGTTCAGCAATCTGTTGACTATTTGTGTTTTTGTCTAAACATTTCTTTCAATTTTAAAGTAGTAGTAGTACATAATTTATGTCAAAATAATGACTTATATCTACAGATGCTGCGCTAATAGACTCGCTTGTCTCTGTCCTGCTGTTAGTTTACTATTGATTTCGTAATGAAAATGAACGTGTTTTAGGTTAAACCAGCTCAACCTGCTGAGAAACCTCAACAACAAAACCAGGCTCAAGTTAAGGCCCAACCACCTCAACAACAACAACAACAGCCGCAACAGCAGCCTAAACCTGAAGTTCAGCAGGCACCACCTCAGGCCCAGCCACCCAAGCAACAGACTCCTCAGCAGCCTCAAGCAAAACCTCAGCAGCAACCCCAGCAGCAGCAACAACAACAGAAGCCTGCTCAGCCTGCCCCTGTTGCTCAACCTAAAAATGATTCACAGGATCATGTGGATAAGTCTGTGAATGTAGAGCAAAAGCCACAAAATCAACACAATAATCAAAATCAACAGCAAAGGGTAAGTCAGCTATCATACAGTACCATGCAATAGAATACAATAAATAGTTGCTGATATATTTTAGAATATTTTTTTTACCCTCAGAACCTTAATGGCAACTTTGGAGGTAACAAGCAACAGGGTGGTTGGGGAGGCCAAGGTGGACAAGGCAACAAACAGGGTGGCAACTTTGGACAAGGCAATAAACCATTTGGTGGTCCTAAACAAGGTGGTCCTGGTGGACCTCCTCGCAATCAACGTCAAAATAATATGCGAGGACCTCAGCAGGATGGAGGAAAACCAGTGCAAAGGGAGGTTAGTAATAAGTTAATGATAATGTTGTTTTGTAATTTACTAATTAATTATTGAGAAGTGTCACTGTTAATAATAAAGAAGAGAATGCTAATGATGATGTTAATTTCAGGAACACATGTTGGCAAATAAACTTAAAGATTTGATGGGTCCCTTGATTGATCTGCCTCCAATTGATCAAACCGAAATGAAGTTTAATGGTAGAAGTCGGTTGTACATTGGTAATCTCACTGGTGATGTCACTGAAGATGAAATTACTAGTTTGTTTTCTCCCTTTGGTGAAACAGCTGAGCTATTTCTTAATAAAGAAAAGAACTTTGGATTCATTAAAATGGTAAGTTTGTCACATTTGACATTTACCATAACACAAAAAAAAAGAAAATGATAAATTACTTGTAACATTAGCAATTTTAATAAAATGGTTATTTGTTTTTTTTGTAGGACTACAGGGTCAATGCCGAGAGGGCAAAGAGGGAATTAGATGGCAAAATGAGAAATGGAAGAACACTGAGAGTAAGATTTGCTCCTCATAACAGTGCTGTCAGGGTGAAAAATCTCCCACCATTTGTATCAAATGAGCTTTTGTACCGTGCATTTGAGATATTTGGAAAAATTGAGAGGGCATATGTACGAGTAGATGAAAGAGGGAAGACACTTGGTGAAGGAGTAGTAGAATTTGCACGTAAACCTAGTGCTTTAGCTGCCATCCGCAATTGCACTGAGAAATGTTTCTTCCTGACTTCGTAAGTTCTGTTTATTTCAGTATATCTATATACTATGATGTTTAAATATCTTTCTAATTCTAATTTTCTTTTAGATCTCTGCGTCCCGTTATAGTGGAAAGCTTTGAGGAGCCTGACGAGTTTGATGGCTACCCAGAAAAGAACCTGCCTAAAAAGCACCCTGAATTTCTACGGGCCCGTGAGCTTGGTCCAAGGTTCTCTGAGCCCAGCAGCTTTGAACACGAGTATGGTACAAGGTGGAAGCAGTTGCACGAGCTTCATCGCCAAAAAGAGGAGGCACTAAAAAAGGAATTAGCTGCAGAAGAAGAGAAATTAGAAGCTCAGATGGAGTATGCAAAGTAAGTGTTCTAATAGTTCACGGATCAAATTAAATATAGCTTAAAGTTGGACAGAAGTGTTAATAGTAAAGTGTATGTAGATACGAGCACGAGACGGAGTTGCTCCGCGAGCAGTTGCGGCAGCGCGAACAGGACCGCGAGCGACAGAAGCGCAGCTGGGAGCTGGCCGAGCGCGCCGCCGACGAGCGCCGCGACGCCGAGCGCCTGCAGCTGCTGCGCCAGGAGGAGGAGCTCGCGCAGCGCATGCGCCAGCAGGACGACGAGCTGCGCCGCCGACAACAGGAGAACACACTTTTCGTGCAGGTGCCTACCGCATTATTGTCATCTTGTGTATTATTACTGTTTGTGTCTATTGTGACAATATTTTCACTGATTGTTTTGTTGGGCAAATGGCAGCAAATAGTGAATGTATATGTTTAGCTCATTAATTTTATTTTACATGTACCTATATAATTGTTTAAACTGTTTATCATTTATTTAACAGGCACAACGTCTGAACTCAATGCTGGATCGCCAAGAGCAAGGCATGTTTGACCAGCAGCAGCCAATGGTAAGTTTGTATTTTATTTAAAATTTCTAGGTTCAAATTCCAGGATATCTATCAGGATATAGAAAATATGAGATTGAGAGATTTGTGCTATGAGATATATGTTGATGTCTCAACATATACTTGCCATTTATTTATTCAAGAATTTTTATCCATAGATGTTTATTTTAATATGCTCTATAACACTGATCATGTGCAACAATGAATTTATATCTTCAAACTATTTGTGACTACTCATAAAATTTTTGCATATTCATCGATCTTATTCCATGATATAAGCGGCTACAAGGAAAATTACTTTCTAGCAACATGAACCTTAATATACCTGAAATCATATGATTTTCTGCTTTGCACACAGGAAAACAAATATACTGAAACTATTATTTGACATCTGACTTTCGACATATTTATTTTAAACCAGTATTTACTAAGGCACAAAATTTTCGCGTCCGTTTGTGTTTTCATCGTTACGTGATGACGGCATCACGCGACAAGGGAAATACGATTTAGGTATCTCTGACTTATTACAAACTATTAGCGAGTACTGTAGTGAGTGCACGTGTCAATGTGACACTTTGTATTCCTTCAAACCACTTACGATGTTCGTTCTGCAAAAAGAACGATCCTTTAAACATCTGTAACCATGAAACTAAATTCATGTTAACAAAATTACGGAAATTAGGAAACGAACGTTATAGATCTTTGAAATATTACTCCATTTACAATACGATAATTTATTCATAGACATTAATTTATAGGTATATACTAGTGATGTAACGAATATTCGCATTCGCATTCGCGAATATTCGCAATTTTTTGCATATTCGCATTCGCATTCGCAAAATGTTTTGCGAATATGTACTTCTTAGAAAAAAACTATTTTTAAAATAATGGTAGGCTAAAAAAATCAAAATCCATTCGTTGGAAACATCGGCAGAACTTAACTCTTTAGTTAGTTCATCAAATGGTCTGAGTACACCGGAAAGCTTTTCTATAATCATCCACTCTAAAATAGACCCTGCGTTCCGATACGCGCTGAAAACGGCGACAAGTATTGGCTAGTCTGATTCGAAATGCGCCTATAACGGAACGTACCTCGTTCAGTACGAGACTGCCACCAAACCATACAAATGGCGCCAAATTTGAACACAAACTGAATATTCGCATCCGCATTCGCATTCGCGAATGTCGATATCAGATATTCGCATTCGCATTCGCATTCGCGAATGTTCAAAAACACACATTCGTTACATCACTAGTATATACCAACCTAATAGTGATGAATTCTGTTAATAGAAATAGAAATTAACGATTTCTAATGACGACAATACTATCATGCATCGTCATCATAATATCTCGGTCGTTTAACACGTTAAGCACGACACGATAAAATATTTGTCATTTTATATGAGTCGATTACACTCTCGTTTCGAATGATATTACTATTTACATAAGACAAAACAAGTCGTAGTCGATGGAGAACTGATATGAATTCTATACCAAATGTTGAATTGTTACACGAGAAATGCTCGATTAATAATTCATTATCCTCTGGTCGTTTGAAGATTTTACACAGACACATTGAAGAAAATACAATATTTGAGAGGTTAAAAGATTTGAATGAAAACAAATGACAAGATTTTTCTCTTTATCTAGAAACGGAATCTATTAAAACCTGAAACAATTACTTTCATTAAACTTACAACTTGTAAACAAATCTGTGTAATCAACAATTCTTGAGATTACTGTTCAACTTAATAAAAAAAAAGAGTTATTGGGCGTATCACATAATTTTGACAATGTCTTTCAATCCATTGTCTTTTCTGTACTTATTCAATAGTAGGGTGGGGGACGCTAGTTTTAAAACGTCATTTGTAATCCACTGAAAATTTTATAATAGTCTCCCCTTATACTTATGAGCAGAGAGTGTCAACCGCTCAACTACCCTGTTCAGTCAGGAGTTACGGCACGTGAAAGTCGCCAATAATAATTTCACTTTAAACCGCGTAAAAAATTTGTAAAAAAAATCTTTAGAAAATTTTAATCAAAAATAAAAGTCGGATATTTTGCGAGCACATAAAGATTTTACTCTTGACATTTTTTTATGTACCAAAATATCGTACTACTACTAGCGCTAACTTTCCATACGAAATAGAATTATCCATCTATTTTATAAAAATAAAATATTAAAAGAAACGTACTAAAATAGATACTAGTTGGCCGACATATCAATAGATGACAAGTCTACTGCACGTATACACGCTTTATGCTCGCGCTCGTATCACTAATGCAAACGTAACAATCGGCAATTACGGCGCCGAAGACGCACGTTTCTAATACGCGCGTTGCCTGCGAGTATAAAAAAATGCACCACGTTCTATTCTACACTACTGTGCCTACTGTCAAAGTGTTAAACACAACTCTTACCGTAAAACTATGGTTTATCCAATAAAAAACTTAAACAAAAATTATTTTTATGAAAATCGTACCTTGGCCATAGTGCGGTTCGAAAAGCAACACCTCCTTTAACAATACGATAAAAATTACTTTAAGTGTTTAAAACTACATAATGCTTTGCTATTTTATCCCGGAAATTTTGGTCCCTAGTAAATACTTTAAAACATTGTCATGAACGTCAGCGCTATATATCAATATTATTATTAATAACTATTATTACATTACGTATTCTTGCGGTTCATTTAACAGTAAAAGAGCAAACGTGAAATTTATACTATTCGTCAGTTCATCGTAGACAAAGTTGGTAATTTTTTTTTTAAATACACATTATTCCTTTAGTGAAATTCTATTAGAAAGTATTGTGATTGCTTACTTAGGATGGAGGCTACAGAGACCAGTACGACATGCCCCGTGGGAGTTATGATGACATGCCGCCAAATCGCGGTTGGGAAGGACCGCGCCAAATGGACGATTACCCTAACAAACGTCGCCGTTTTTAAAGCAGCTCTTAGGAGCAAATAGTGTGTAAATCCGTGTTTCCGACTGTGGAGCATTTTATACTGTTTCGTGGTCGTTGGTTGGGTGCAAATAATGGGAATATGATATAACATTCAATCCCAACTTTGTCAAAATAATTAGGTGAAAACTAACTAAGTAATGAATGCAAATGTCGGTTTGTATACATTATATACTGGCTAGTGTTTTTCATTACGGTTTAATTTACCATTGTAATTATAAAAATATGCGCGATTTTCATCGTAGTAAGAAAAAAAATATGAACCCATTATTTGTCCTAACCAAAGGCTTTAAATTATTATCACATACATTTTAAAATGATAAACTCACCATAGAAATTAATTACGTTAGGAATTATTTTTAAGTCTGATAATAACGAGGTACCTCGTTTTTTAACCGACTTCAAAAAAAGGAGGAGGTTCTCAATTCGACCGTATATATGCTTTTTTTTTTTTTTTTTTTATGTTTGTTCGCCGATATCTCCGTTGTTTTTACTATTTCGACATCATATCAGTGTGAATTATTCCATCAGAGAGACAGCTATTATCACAATAAACATTCGTCGAGTTAATAGTTAACTCACGGCTTAAAACATTATCTTATACCTTTTGTATAATAGTTTTGCCATTATACAATTAAATTGACAAATTAGGTATAATGCTAACATTCCTGATTTTGCACCACACCAGTATAAGTATACTTACATACTTCATTATGATTGCATTAAGTGTGAAAATTATGTTTACCCCTGGTACCAAGGGGTACTCCTTAATAAATAATTTTATTATTAATGCTGAATCACTGAATACCACTTGTAAAAATTCTACACAAGTGTTTTAGTGTAAAAAGTACTCTTAACAGTTTTGTAAACACAATATTATCCAAAAAAAAAAAAATGTTTATGAATTACTTAAATTTTTCTGATCACCTGTCTTCTGAAACAGGTTTTCGCATTAATCTCATAGGACGTGGATATATGGTACGATTTATGTTTGCCCAGAATAGACCCTAAGTAACTCTCAGTTCTGTAATGTAATGTTTCATGTATTATGTACTATACTTAAAAATATTATATATTATTATACTTTTATTATTCTTATATACTGGAGGTGTATCGAGGTGTTACCTCTACTACTAGCACCATTACAATAAATTAAATATCTTCCAAGTGGCATGAGTTAACGATTACTGAGAGTGAAAGCCAATAATTTTATTTATAACTTTGAGCATAGCAAATTGAGTGTGAAGAGATTATTTAATAATTTGGTAAATTAGTTATTTTTATCTTCTTGAATAAAATACATAGTTACATATTTTTTGAATTCTTATTTCTGAATAACCTGCCAAATATAATTTTATATGTGTAAATTGTATTGATTTTGTTTCACAACAAAATGAGATACACCCTCAATATTGATTTTTGTAATGGAAATAATTAATAATATGTGGGTATGAGAATTAGTGTAAAGTAATCCTTCTTACTTTTAGGAAATTTTTATATATAAATACTAAGAAAAATACAAAAAAAATATTAATTTCTTATTACTACAACAGCAGGGTGGGTGGGTGTGATCGCCTGTTGTGCAGTTTTGCGGGTTGCCATTGCCGCATCGGTCAAAAATGAGCTCATGCATTTTTTGTATTGAAATTACTGTTGCATGGAGTTTAGAAATTTGGTGGTGATCAACCCCCGTGCTTCGGAGAGCACGTTAAACTGTCGGTCCCGGTTGTCATAAGAACTATGACAGTCGTTATGGCTAGTCAGAAGCTTCAAAAATCTGACAACCGGTCTAAATAAGAATGTGGTTGCACCTTTAGCGGGTTGTGGTGAGTTGATAGCAGTAAATTTATGTTAAATAACAACTTTTAGACGAATCTGGTTGAGACTTAGTGCCGCTCTCAAAACAGTTTGAAATAAGCCATGAGAAATAAGACTGGTTTATTGTATTTATTTTATACTACGAAACTTAATCATGGACTACGAATTAAATAATCTCGAGCAATTCCAGTCACTTTAGATTTTCACCACATGCATTAAATTACTTATTATGTTTTCGGCTTACTCAAGTAACTCGACTAGTTTCAAGCCATGTTAGAGGTTCATATTCATGAACAGCATTCCGCGACAAACGACGCGCCGACAGTCTCGCTGTTACTGGTTAAACAATTACGTAAGTGTTTAACCACTAGCAATCCGAAAACATAGTAATTAATTTAGTATGCCTCACGAAATTTATAATATAAGGCATGCTTTGAATTAGAGACAAACATTATGTCTCAGGGTTTCCTCTGGTTTTATTGTTTTATGTTTTTATTGTTCAGAAAGCAACCGATAAATAATTGCAATTGCAATTCATCGTGCAAATCAACGAGGTTGATATTTTGTGCCAAAATTGGAATAAAGAAAGTTTCAATGCGATGAACATATTTATGTATACGATAAATATTGTATGTCGTTGGTGGTAGTCTAAATTTGACTGAGCCGCCTATGCACCCCCTAAGATTCGAATCTTGCGCCATATTTTTCTCTTTTTCTCTTCAAGCTTTAAAGGCCTTTTTGATTACAATAGTTGCGTATTCTTTTTCTGTTATGACGATTTCATAGACATTCCAAATGATGACTCATTTTTGTTGCATAAAAGAATCAAATCTTATTAATAGATAGTCTGTTCGTCGTTCACGTGAAAATATATACCGTGAAACCTATTTCGTTTTGGTCCAGAAATAAAATGACTTTGTCTTGGTAGTACAACAGTTAAAAAAATTAAATTGTTAAAAAAAAATAACTGGGGAACCATTGCAAAGAGCAAACTTTAAAAAGGCATACAAACTCATAGTACATTGTCAAAACACCACGCCATAGTCAAAGTCAAAATCATTTATTTCAATTAGGAAACAAAAATTTAAAGTGAAGCTATTTGCTCATATAATTGGGATGATGACAGGGTATGTAACTTAAAAATCTAATTAGTCCGTAAGTTAGGTAATGAAAAAATATTAGACACGTATTTTTTATTTTGTCGTATAATAAAACAATACTTTGATAAAACGAATCAAACTTTAGGAGTGGGGGCTAAAAATGTCATTTCTACGTATAAAATGTACATAGAAGTGACGTCACGCGACATTTCAAATCAATATATATCGTCATATGTATTCGTTTCTGTAAGAAAATAAAAATACGTGTTTAATGATTTAAACTGTCAAACACCGAGCGGTCACCGGTGACCGCAACCTATCGTTCTTTAATTGTGTCTATAATGACGGTACTCAACGAGATTAAAATAATCTACCAGACGGATATTAAAATAAAAATTAAGCATCTACCCTATTCTCGTCGGGTGGCACGTGTGATACGAATAGTGCAGCTACAAATTTACGTCTAGTGTTTCATGTGCGTATTTCTATAAAATTCTTTTTGAATTAAAAAAATGACATCTCTATTTTTTTTTAATATCTATCTATAATGTTTTTACTTTATACATCGAAAGTACTCCTTATGGCAAAACGAAATATATGTCACGGTGTATATTTATATGGCATATTTAAAAGTCTATTAGACTATTATATGGCATATTTAAAAGACTATAAGTGTAAAATAGTGATTTTGTGAATGTAGATTATGTTGGTGAATTGTTACTTGTTTCTGAATTGCTTGCTGTTCGTAGTGGCAGGTAGAGGCTAATATTACGCTGTATATTTTGCGCAATGCAGGGGACCATTTTAGTATGCGTGTAACGGTATACATCAAATCAATTAAGAATCACTTATTAATCTTAAATTAATTCGTTTATAGCTTCTGCAGATCTACTTGAACAGCGATGAACTATTGAAATCACTATTTAATTAGGATTTACATAGGCCTTGAATTTTTATTTACTGGAATCTCTTGCGAAGAAACTAATGGTAAGCTAAAGGTTAAAAGGTTTGTGACTTTCTAGGTACTAAACCGAATATAAAAAAAAACTAATTAACCACGTCTTATACAGTAGGTACAACCTACTTCAATCTGTCAAATTTCTTTTATTATTTCAATATTAATTATTTTGCAAGTAAACTAGAAATAATCAAAGGAATTTCACAGACTGGACTCTGAATATTGTTGGTGTTTGTGCTTACGTGGATCTTTCAGAACTAACACGACTCAAAAATTTCTTTTATTTTTTGCTATAAAAAAAATTACGCGTTCCTTGTCATAACACGCGACGTTGCTCATTAAGCTTCTTAAGTACACAATGTAATGCACTTTCATACTGAAGTACATTTTGTAGATTCCGTACAAAAATAATATTACTAGCGTTACAAAAACATTCAGTTTTTGAGCATCGTAAGTAAGCTCAGGCTTGGCAATGTACGTGATATCGATATGTGGAAATAGCTTGTGTTTTTTATGCAAAATAAACAGAGGTGGACAAAGATTCTAGTAGACTAAAACTTCACTATCTTTTTTTGTTTTAATAGAAACTAACTTTTTGCCTCCCTCTTTTATGGCTGATGCTTCTCTCTCATGGTTCCGCCTCTGATACAATGTAGCTTGAGTCTCAAACGTTCATATAATTAACGAAACGCTTGAATCTAATAACATTTTCCATTTAATCTGAATGTGATAGGCAGCGCTAGGAGTTTCTTTGTTGTATGGTAAACTAGGAATGACTGCCCTAAAATGTATATTTGATGTAAATACGGTGTACGATATGATATTACCAACAAAAACCACGAGACGTATAAGTATAATAAAATTGTTTTGAAATACTATTGTATTTGAATGAACGTAGAGATTTATTGTTCTCCTACTGCGAAGCAGTCATGCTAGGTAAGAAGGAGGCATGGCGCGTGAGGGAACGAACCTCTTCACGCCCCAGCCGTCGCAGAAAACACTCCGGGCGTCGTGGATCGCGAGACGATCTCCGGTCACCGTAATCTGCGGACGGCGAGCAAGGGAAGCTCGCCGCCCAATCAGAACCAGACCCGAGCGTAACCCGCG